GAGGGGAGGAGAGAGGGGCTTATGGGGGGATACAAAGTGAATAATGTGTAATTAATAAAAGATAAAAAAATAATACAGGTAATATCTGCTTATAAGTGAGTATACACCATGTGTTTCTGCTTCTGGGTTACTTCACTGAAGATGATCTTTTCTAGTCCCACCCATTTACCTGCAAATTTCATTATTTCTTTCCACAAACAGCCTCTGAAAGACTCATTCCAGCAAGGTATCAAAACAAATGCTGAAACTTATACCCAAACTTTGGGCAGAGTTCAGGAAATCTCATGGAAGAATGGGGAGATAGAAAGACCTGGTGGGTATAGGAGCTCTACTAGGAGACCAACAGAGCCAGAAAATCAAGGCTCATGAGGACCTGCAGAGACTGATGCACCAACAAAGGACCATACATAAAGAGGGCTTAGACCTCCTCCCCCAGCTCTGATGTAGCAAACTGGCAGTTCAGTCTTCATGTTTGTTCCTTCATAAGCAGAGCAGGGGCTGTCTCTGACATGGACTCTGTTGCCTGCTCTTTGATCACTTCCCCTTAATGGCAGGAGGGGGTGGGCATTGCCAGGCCACAGAGAAAAAAAATGCAGGCAGTCCTGATGAGACTTGATAGGCTGGCATCAGGTGGTAGGACTTTGCTGTTCTGAAAAATAGGGGAGGTAAATAGGGAGAAAAAGGGAGGGAGGGTGGGACCAGGAGGAGAAAAGGGAGAGGGCTACAGTCAGAATTTAAAGTGAATAAATTAAAAGAAATAAATTTTAATTAGAAAAAAATGATACATTTCCACATTGGTGTAGTACTCAGCTCTTATAAAAATTGAAATTCTCAGGCAAGTAGATGGCCCTAGGAAAAAAAAAAATTGATTGTAATATTCCAGACCCAGAAAGACAAATGTGGTATGCTCTTGCTTATATGTGGATATTAGTTGTTAAATCAATGAACACCAACTACAATCCACAGAAATACAGAGGGTGGGTATAGAGAAATAGAATAGAGGGAACAGAAAGACCAAGCTAGAAAAGTAGATTTTCACTTTTATATGTATGTATATATATATATATATGTATATATATATATATACACACACACACATGTACATTCCATATATATGTATATGGAAGGGGACTTGAATAGGTGAATCAAATGGGAAGTGGGGGAAAGAGGGGATTATTGTAGGGAATATGGGTAGAGACAACTAATAAGTATTTAAAGGGTAGTATGGAAATCTAATACAATAAAAAATTTCCTAAAATATATACAGATGAGAAGAAAATTTAAATGAAATTGACAAATGATGAGGGAGATGGAGTCCTAAGTGTCTTTTTCGTGTCACCAAATGAACTCCTGGTAACAGGACTGGGTCATACCTAATTGGCCCTAAGAGTGCTATAGGAACTCCCAAACAACCCAGGCTAGTGTCAAGACTATAATTTACTCTTCACAACCGACGGCAAGGCTCCATTGCTGAAGACAATGCCTAGACAATACATTTAACATGGAGATGCTGAGCTGGCGGCTACGTAGAGCCTTCACCCCTACACTGTCTTTGCTATAGGAAGGTATTTTGCATGCTATCAAAAGAGAAAGGAAAACAGCAAGACAGCCACCAAGCCTTTATCTACAAGATGTACCTCCTGGAAGATGCTCTGTGACAGTGGTGGCACAAAGTTAGAGGGAGAAGTCAACATATACTCAATAAAATGGAAACCAAACCTGGCACTGCTTGGTTGACCAAGAACCTGATGTAACAGGGGTCTAATGTAAGAGGCCTATTTTGTTTAATTAAGAACAAATACTATTGGTCTAAAAGAAAAAAAAAAGAACTTGATAAAATGACTCCTAATGACATTCTGCTATACCCATAGATTATTGCCTTCTTTGGCCATCATCAGAGAAAGTTTCTCTGGCAGAAGATGAGAATGATATAGAGAACCGTTGAACAGCATATATAGTCACCATTTTCCACCAGTGTGTACATTCTCAGGTTTTATGTTGCCTTCTCTACCTTGCCAATCTATTATGTTGTATGCTCATCTGAATAATACAGAAGATAAAAATGTGAATAAATTTATGTAATATTATATCTTAATACCAACTATGCTCTACATGTTTTTATTTCATTCTTAAAAATTTCATGTATAAAAAAATTCACTCCCAACTCCCTTTCTGCTTCATTCAACTTCCTTTGGCCCTTTCAATGAAGGCCCCTGTCAACTTCAGGTTCTTCCTCTACTTTATGTTTTCTGACCCACAGAGTTCAATTAGTATTTCCCATGTGAACATCCTGTAGGTCATCCACTGAGACATGGGTAGAATACAAGTGACTAAATCCAAAACAAAGTGATTGTCCCTGCCTCAGCAGCCATCACCAAGAAATAGCTCCTCTGCTGGAGCATCAGCACCCCCTCTACCTTCATGCTGAAACTTCTTTGGTTTGTTTACTTGTTTGTTTTGTTTTGTTTTGTTTTGTTTTGGGGTTTGTTGTTGATTTGAGACAGTTTTTCTCTGTCTAGCTTGGGATGTTGTAGACCAGGCTGGCCTTGAACTTACAATGATCTACCTGCCTTTGCCTCCCTGAGTTCTTGGATTAAAGGCATGCACCAGCATGCCTAACTCATGCTGGATTTTCTAGCTGGTTTAAACTTGTGTAGGTCTTGTACAAGTCACCAAAAATGGTGTGAGTTCCAGAGGATAGTATTTCACAATGCTCCCTCCTCATCTTCTGCATCCTACATTCTTCCTCTTACTTGTTTTCTGGTATTCCCTGAGTCTGTTCGGGAGGTATTACTATTGGTGTCCCATCTAAAGCTGAGCCTGAAAATTGCTTATTCTCAGCATTTGGAACCTGCATGCATTCCTGTATCAGACAAAATGAACACATGCATAACCCTGGCTCTGGTTTGCTTTAGATTTCAATTTTCCCTATGAATATGAGCCATCTTGAAAAGTGATTTGTATATAGCAACCTATTAATTGCAGACAGCTAAGGCAATATTAATTTTATAAGAAACAACTCATCAAAACATTTGTTACATAATATGAAATAATTTATGCAATTCCCTAAAAATGCTCTCTCTGATTACGCTATAACCAGAACAAATGAATCAACCCTCTGAGTTGTGTTTAACATCTTTAGCTTCTTGTGAAATACTGTGAAATGAATGCATGGAACAAGTTCTCTTACTACTTGTATTATTAATTAATCACGATAGTTTTTATAATGGATGGATTTGATTCTCTTAAACGATAGACAGATATCTCACTGATTTTCCTCCTCTTTCCCATATCTTAGCATATCATTTTGACTCACACACATACACACAAACACACACTCAGTCATATGCACAATTTGCTAACTTGTAGATTTGTGATGTACCAGAAACATTGAATATCTTTAGTGAATATTTTGTGTCATTTTCTTCAATGCTTAGTATTTCGTTGCAATTCAAACTGTCATATGGTTTTTGCTTGCAGTGTTTTGAAAAATAATGTCATAAGACATCCCCTGGGACCTGGAGGGGACAAGAGATTCTCAAGGAGACCAACAAAGCTAACAAATCTGGGCCGGGGGGGAGGGGGTTTAGAGACTGATGTACCAACCAAGGGCCATCCATGGAGAGGACCTAGACCCCCTGCTCAGATGTAGCTGATAATCAGCTCAGTGTTCATGTAGGTTCCCTAGTAAGGAAAGCAGGAGCTGTCTCTGGCGTGGACTCTGTTACCCACTCTTTGATCACTTTCCCCTGACAGAGCAGCCTTGCCAGGCTACAGAGAAAGAGGATCCAGGCAGTACTGATGAGACTTGATAGACTAGAGTCCGATGGCAAGGGAGGAGGGCTCCCCTTTTCATGGCCTACAGAAGATGCATATAATAGAAAATGTGTCAGTTTGTGGACTAGAAATATGTGTATATTGTCCATCTTTAATACTAGAATTGCATCTGCATGTTTGTTTTGTTTACTGATTAATCTCCAGTACTAAAATAGTAAGTGGTTTAATACAAACATCCAATACTTACTGTCTTGGAAATAAATGCCCAGGTATTATTGTACTAAGTTTGCCAAGGCAAAGTGAATTACGTGTTTGTCAAGGCACTTAATGACTGGCATAAATAAAAGTTTTATGCACCTACATTAAAATATATTTACTGTATACAAGTCATTTCTATAAAGTTTGTTAATCTTGGTAATTTTGGTGCACTGGAGATTGCACATAGAGCCTTCAGAAGCAAATGCTGTACTGCGAAGCTGGATACCCAGTACTATCCTGATTCCATATTTGAATTTGCTGTTAAATTAGTAGCTATTCTGGAAACATGAATGGCAATGGTATAAAAGGTTAATTTCAAAATCATAGTATTAATCTAAATACCTGTATGTAATTTGCTTTATAGTGTTTTGTGATAACCTCAAAATAATTTTAAGATTCATACATATTTTAGATAAAGTTATCCAACTTTATACAGTCATTCTTCATTTATATTCTTACTATAGAAATTTAGTTAAGTATTTTAAGAAACAGAGGAATATGATACAGGCAACATTGATGAGAACTGATAAGCTAGCGTCAGATAGACTAAGAGGAGGTCCTCCTCTATCAGGGGACTAGGGAAAGGGCATGGGGGAGAAGAGGGAGGGTATGTGGGACTGGGAGGAGACAAGGCAGGGGTCTGAAGTGGGGATACAAAGTGAATAAATTGTAATAAATATATAAAATTAAATTAAATTAAAAAAGAAATACGTAACCAAAATCAATTTTGAAATAGTATTTTTGGAAAGAAAATTATTTATTTTGCAACATTTTGACAAATGAACAGATTAATTAAACTAACCAACAAAGATAATCTTACTGTACTCAAGACACTAACAACTCTGGTTTAAAACTGAAAAATTAAATTCAGAAACATTTCTTGGGTTTTTTGTTGTGGTATGTTATTTTCCAGAGTTAAGAAACAAATTAAAAACTCTTCATGCTACTATATGTACCCCAGAAAATCATTAAGGAACTGTTTACTTTGGTTATAAGATTCTTTATTTTGTAAACTATACATAAACAGTAAAAAAGAAAATGCATTATAGCTTAAATATTATGTAAGGTCAACATTAAAGTTTTTATTTAGTGTGTATAAATTAAATGGAAAGAATTGACCAAAGTGTTTTCTATGAATAATATTCCAGGAAATCTTTAAATTCACTGTTGAAGTGAAAGATGCCAGTGTGTAAAATTGATCAGGTTTCCTCACCTCTATTATGAGCACAAAACTATTGGTCTGATATACCCAAAGGTGGTGGCATGTCAAAACGTCTACACAATTAATTAACATGCTAACTGATGTATAGTGAACAAAGTAACTTTTGTTACAGTTAATCTTAAATGCTACTCTTCACAGTAATTATAAACAAGTCCATATGGGATTATGTAACAATAGAAAAAAAGAAAGAAACATATTCCATTTCTTCATTTCAGCAGTATCTTTTATAGCAATAATTTGTTGTGTGTGTTTAAATATTGCCTAATATCCCATACTGGTATGCATGCTAATTCTTCCTATTTCTATTTTTGCAAGGCACCATACAACACATTCTCTAATTTTGGTACTACTAAAAAAAAGGCATGATCCTAAGATTAAATTCAAATTTTTATATTAAATTTAAAAAATGGGAATTCATATTTTCAAATTTGGTCTTAGGTAAATAAAATATATTTAATAAAAAAATGTTGAAATGAATCTTTTTCTTCTCCTAGTGGAAATTCTGTACCCTGATTGCTGGTCAAAAAGATAGAGAAATCTAGAAATGATGCTGTTTACAAATATTTTTAAAAATGCACATGATATGCAATTTAATTTAAATTGGAAATTAGGAAGAAAAACTAAGTTTTTAACTTTCAGAATCCATGGTTTTCATACTTCATATTGCATAAAGCATCATATCCAAACTAACTTCATAATGTAAAAGATCACCACTAAATAAGTACTCAAAAATCATCATGCTATCTTACCCCATAAGCCATCTTTCTTACTCTTCCAACTGTAAGTTTTGAGAAGATGCTAAATTTGAGATTAAATTAATATTATGCCATAATTTCGGTTCGTGTCATGAATCCTTGTGGTTTAGGTCATTAATAAGTTACTATAAATTGAACTTATAAAATCTGTCATAAAAGCAACACATATGATCCCAAGCACACTTTCATTGCTACTTCGTTTGTCTGACAAATTATAGCATGTGTTCTTATGAAAGTTTTGTTATCATAATCGTCACAACTTTCTTTATTCAGGCTACAACCCATATGTTTTCTTTTTTTCTAAGGCATATGAAAACTGAAATCAAGTTATTCTCATTTAAACATAATGTTCTATGATTTCCACTGCAATATTTGAAATAATTATACAAAATATATGTGGAGGTTTAGAATCACTTTGTTAAGGGATAAGAAGGTAATTCTCAATATGTTATTATTTTGTAAATATTAAAAATGTAGAATTTATTGTCGTTAGCTGTCACTAATCAAATATATCCATCGTGGTCATCCCCATCATCATCATCATCCCCTTCATCTTCGTCATCATCTTCAATATCATCCTTATCATTCATAATGTCATCTTCTTCACCTTCATCATCAGTCCATTCACGGAAATCTCCACTTGCAAAATCTCCAGAGATCTCAAAATCTATAGCTGTAAAAGCGAACATCATATTTACTATAATATACAATTGAATGATTTCTGAGTAATATAAATAATAAGTAAATAAAGGAGGAGCCTGCAGCAGGGATACAAAGTGAATAAATTGTAATAAATAAGAAAATTAATTAAAAATATAGAAAATAATAAGTAAAATTCAAAGGTTTAATAAATTTGTATTTGTTCTTTATCCCAATGAAGATAAAAGAAAAATCCATTCTTGGGAAGTATGTTGTATGTTAAAACTTTCATTTGTTTAATGTGTATGCTCAAAGTGCTGTGCTGTATAAGATTTCTGTTTTAAAAAAAATTGATCACAGTCCAAGTTTTGTAGAATTTCAGGTCAGACTAGAAATCTTATATATTATTATCATCACTATTATTATTGTTATTATAAATCTTTACAATTTATTCATTTTGTATCTCAGTTGTAACCCCTACCTCATCTCCTCCTGGTCCCACCCTCAATCCATCTCCCCTAGTCCACTGATAGGGAAACTCCTTCTCCCCTACTCTCTGACCCTTGCTTATCATGTCCTGACAGGACTTCCTGGATCCTCTTTGTCTTGTAGGCTGGCTAGGTCACCCCACCAAGAAGAAGTGATCAAAGAGCAGGCAACGGAGTTCATGTCAGAGACTGTCTCTTCTTCCCTTACTAGGAGACCCACATGGTGACTGAGATGTCCATGGGCTACATCTGAGCAGGTTGTCTAGGTCTTTTCTGTACAAGGTGTTTGATGCATTGGTCTCTGCAGTCCCCCCTGGGCCCAGCTTTTTAGGGTCTAGTACTCTCCTTGTAAGCCTCTTGTCCCCTCCAGGTCCTTTTATATTCCAATTCTTCCACAAGACTCCCTGTGCTCTGTCCAAAGTTTGCCTGTGAGTCTTTGCATCTGCTTCTATCCCCTACTGTGAGGAGTCTTTCTCAGAAAACTGGGAATAGTGCTATCTCAAGACCCAGCTATAACACTCTTGGCCATATATTTGAAAGATGCTCAACCATACAGTATTTGCTCAACTATATTCAGAGCAGCTTTATTCATAATAGCAATAATCTGGAAACAATAGCAATTTTTCCAGCAAAAATCTGGAAATAATCCCTCAACCAAAGAATGGATTTGGAAATTGTGGTAGATTTACACAATGGAATACTACTCAGCAATTAAAGACAAGGAAATCATGAAATTTGCAAGCAAATGGATGGAACTAAGAAACATCATCCTGAGTGAAGTATCCCAAGGACATGTATGGTTTATATTCATTCATGAGAGGTTATTAGCCATGTAATATAGGACATACATAGTGAAACCTACAGAACTAAAGAAGTTAAACAACAATGAAGACCTTAGGGAAGATGCTTAATTCTCATTCAGAAGGGAAAACAGGGTAGACACCAGAAGTGGTAGTAGAGGGGGAACAGGATGGGAGCCTACCACAGATGTCCTCTAAATGAATTTTGTAAACCATTCTTAGCAAAACATAGACTTCCTAAATTTAAAAATCAAATAGATATGCTTCCTGATATTAAAGGTAACTTTATAAATCTAATTCAGTTAGTGACCTCAAGTCTGGAGGCTATACTTGGTAATTTCACTGTTACTTGGTTCCTTTTAATCAGGCAACTTTTCCTAGGAAGGAGTAATTTAGAGATGTAACTACTGATCAAATGAACATGAGAAAACTCCAGAAGATGAAAGAGGCGAAGACATTGATTTTTCAAAAGAGACCCTAGAAATAGCAATAGCTTGCTAAAATATTGATGCTTAGTTTAGTGAGACTTGTTGGAATGTGTCAAAGAGAACTAAAAGATGATAAACGTGTGTTGATTAAACAAGCAGCTTAGTGGAATTGACATTCAGATGTTCCTAGATCAATATAAAATTAATATTCATATTAACTTAAAATTAGCTAATTATATTTCAAGACAATTAACATATATCTCATAACTGTAACAAATATTAAGTCCTCAAATGATACTGCATTTTTATTCTTAATTCTTTTAAATTCTGCTAATGTATTTAGATGGTGGTAAATTGATTGCTGTCACAACATACTGAAATTACCATCTGATGTGAAGAAAATCTTTCTTAAATTCCACATTTATATATATGTGTGTGTGTGTGTGTGTGTGTGTGTGTATAATAGTTTCAAAACTGTAAGAAAATCCAGGAGTAAAGTCTTCAAAATAATTTTTGCTCACATATTTAACTCATCTGCACATAATTCTCATTGGGAGGATATAAATTAAAATACTTCATCTATTACTGATATCACAGGTAGACGAATCCAGTAACTATGTAAGATTATTATTATAAAGTCATGTTCTCTAGTTTCTAACACTGTGTAAGGTAGGTATTAAATACTAGCTGCTGCTTTCATCATACAGGCAAATTCCCAATATTATGAAAATGTTACGGAATAAATAAATACAAGGCAGGAAGGAAAATTATTTAAGATTATTTGCTATTATTTACTATTTATTTCTTCTTAAATAATCATTGTTGATCTTTATAAAAATTGCATAGGAGAGACAGTTAATCACTAAGTCCTTAAATTTTCAGTATGCTTATTGATATTAGTAAAAATAAAACCCATTAGATCTGCTTTTTGGGATTGTTGTTGTTTCTTTTTTTTTTTTTTTTACATTTTTTTCTTTATTAATTACACTTTATTCACTTTGTATCCCCCCTGTGGTCCTCTCCTTCCTCCCATCCCAATCCCTCCCTTCTTCCACCCTCTGCATGCATGCCCCTCCCAAGTCCACTGATAGGGGAGGACTTCTTTTCCTTCCTTCTGATCCTAGTCAATTAGGTCTCATCAGGAGTGGCTGCATTGTCTTCTGCTGTGGCCTGGTAATGCTGCTTCTCCCTCAGGGGGAGGTAATTAAAGAGCAGGCCAATCAGTTCATGTCAGAGACAGTCCCTGTTCCTGTTACAATGGAAACCACTTGAATACTGAACTGCCATGGGCTACATCTGTGCAGGGGTCTTAGGTTATCTCCATGCATAGTCCTTGGTTGGAATATCAGTCTCAGGAAAGACCCCTGTGCTCAGATTTTTTGGTTCTGTTGCTCTCCTTGTGGAGTTCCTGTCCTCTCCAGATCTTACTGTTTCCCACTTCTTTCCTAAGATTCCCTGCACTCTGCCCAAAGGTTGCTCATAATTCTCAGCGTTTTTTAATTAAATTTTTATTTTTTATATTAATTATAGTTTATTCAACTTGTATCCCAGCTGTAGCCTCCTTCCTCCTCCCCTTCCAATTTGCCCTCTCTCCCACATTTCCTCCTATGCCCCTCTCCAAGTCTACTGATAGGGGAGATCCTTCTCCCCTTCCATCTGACCCTAGCTTATCTGGTTTCATCTGAATTAGCTGCATTGTCCTCCTCTGTGGCTTGGCAAGACTGCTCCCCAATCCAGGGAGCGAGTCAAAGAGTTAGCCACTGAGTTAGAGTCAGAGACAGTCCCTGTTCCCCTTAGTAGTGAACCCACTTGGATATTGAGCTGCCATGGGCTACATCTGAGCAGGGGTTCTAGGTTATCTCCATGAATGGTCCTTGGGATTGTTTTGTGTTTACTTCTCCTTTTGCTGTAAAGAGAGGCTAATATTACCCAAATCATTTCCAAGCTGAAAAACAGGAGAAAGTATAGTAATGTTTAATTGTGGCTAAATTTTAATGTATATTGTCCATCAAGGTTGGGAAATATGGTTGCTGGAGTGACAAGAAGAGCTGGAATAATGGGAAGGGGATTTTGAACTTATGGCAGGCACATATTACATGACAAACCAAAAAGGGAAAATCCACACCAAAGCTTTGCTGGTCCCAAGCCTGCAACATCCACTACACTCCAAATTTTAGAGGCTCCCTATGCTCCCAAACAGCATCATAATACGGGACCCAAATGTGTAAACATAGCATGCTGATGGAGGTAGAAGTTTGGGGGGCACTGTAATTAAGATTTTTATAGGTAAGTATTCGTGTAACACAAACCCAAAAATTATTTGAATCTTTGCTTCTGGATTTTGTGATTGTAAATTAAAAAGTATAAAATACATATGATACCAAATTCTTACATAATTTCTATAGAGACACATAAAATACCTTTTCACAAAATTATTAGATCATAAATCATAACTGTCATTTAATATAGTAATGGTGTTATCCATACCTAGACATAAGGAAACCAGTAATGTCTCAGTCTAGTTTATTGGATACAACAGAGTTGAAATTGTGTTTTGTTAGGGTGGCTTCATTTGGTTTGGGTGGTGAGGGTAATACTACCTAAATCGTTTCCTCCAAAGGACCGCAGACGACTGTTCCACATGGATCTGCACACTCTATGCAGTATGTTTTGCTGACTTAAATTAGAATAATTGATAATCTGCTTTGTGACAGACATTTTAACTCGAATCTGGAACTGGAACTCAGCTTTTAATCATTCTCAAAATACTTAAATGTGTCTGTTTCATATAAGTTTATTGCAACCATACAAGTTTACAATTACCAAAGTCCAAGACTACTTTTCACCCCGAGCATTCATACATTTCCTACATATTCTATAATCAGAATAGGACAGTTCTTCATTAAATGCTTGAATATGTTCATGAGATTTTGACATATCCATATGTTAGGAAATTGTATGAAGTGAGCATTTCTCTTACCACAATCTGCAACACCATTTGTTCTGGATCCTACGACTTCATTTCCATATCTGTCAACACACCAGCACTGCCCTACGCTGCCATGACATTGGGTTGGCTTGTAGTAACCATCTTCATCACAGAGCGGGATGTACTGTCCTGTGACATACGCAGTGACACACACAAATAAGAACAGTTTATTAATAAACGGCAATCTTCTAAACAAAATCATCATGCATTAAAGTCCTAAAGAATCAAACATGATTGATTCTATTCTTGTATTACATCTTTCAGAACACTTAGCATAGCACACAAGACCTTCAACTGTCTTATTATCAATAATTTCCTTTCAAATTTACCCAAACTTTTCTTAACATGTTACAAAAGTATCCCAAAATAAGCTGCTTCTCCCCAACATACTATTACTTTACGTATGTCAAAGTACTATGAAATCCTTATTATGAACACTTTCTCCATTACTCCATCTTTTATTTTGAAGTTTAAATATTATTCACAGAGCAAAGGCTTTTCTCTCTCACCTGTACACGCACACATGCACCTGTGTGTGTGTGTGTTAATTTCTCTGTGTGTATTTTCTTATACATTGTTACACTTTTCTGAAATATCTTCACTGTTCAAAAATATTTAGCTTCTCTTGGTTTCCACTGTTACACAAACTACACCCTTTACACTGAAAGTCTACCTAACCAATGCTGGGAAGATAGCTACTCCTATTTTACAGTCTGACACAGTACACAGTACATGTGCAATGATGAATGTTTAGGTCTTTAAAAGTTTAGTAAACTTCTTCAACAAATATTTCAGTGTTAGATACATCATCTAGAGGATCAGATATTTCCTTTTCTCCTCTGCTTACTCTTTTATAAGAACAGAGTCACCATTTTTTTTTTTTGGCTAAGATACCTAATATATAGAGAAAATTTGAACATCATTTTCTGGTTCCACCTGTAGGATGAAAATTTTAAATCCTAAAAAGCGCCATAGGTATAAAAATAGATGATGTTAATTATTACAAATATAATTTATCTGAAATATGTAAACTGGCATAAACTAATATTAACAATATTCAAAATTTGTGAATTTCTTTTACAGACTTAATTAGGATCATCAAATACAAGAAAAAATATTGTGGTATTCAGGTATGTAAAATACTATGATTTTTAAAAACATGTTGCAATCACTCCTTCTGCCAGAAAATTTAAAATAGAACTCTGATCAGCAAAGGATTTGCACTACAGACATGATCTGTACATTAAAACACATGACACTTTATCCTGACAGAGCAGGTGACCAAATTATGTATGTATCATGATAACACACCTTAATCAGAAAGAACTGATAATAGTTTTGATACCTACTTTTTATGAAAGAAAAGTAAGGAAACTCTTCCTATATCATCATTAAATGTGATTTTTTTAATAATTTCAAATAAGAAAAGCATTCTGATAAGTTTTAGTAAAACTTGCTCTTGATCAACTCTAAAATATGTATTTGGAGATAACAGTTCATCTTAGGTATGATATAAAACTTTGGATTGCAGAAAGATGCTCATGCATTGGAATATTATTTCCACTAGTGATTTATATATCACTAGCAACTGGTCACAGTTTTAAAAAAATGCCCACCAGTTTTTATAATCATCAGGTTTTCATCTAAAACATTTTATGACAAACTACTTAACTATTTGAATGATGAGTCCTGGGCTAATCATTTTCTAACAATATGAAAAATGTTATAATTTAAAATTGTTTTATTTAAATTTTTTTTTACAAAGTTTATTTACATTGTATCCCAGCTGTAGCCCCTTGCTTCATTCCCTGCCAATTCCACCCTCCCTCCCTCCTCTCCTCCCTGCCACTCTGTAAGTCCACTGATAGGAAAGGTCCTCCTCTCCTTCCATCTGACCTTAGCTTATCAAGTCTCACCAGGATTGGCTGCAATGTCCTCCTCTGTGGCCTAGCTAGGCTGTTCCTCCCACCGGGGTAGAGGATCAAAGATCTAGCCCCTGAGTTCATGTCAGAGACAGTCCCTGTTCCCCTTATTAGGGAACACACTTGGATACTGAGCTGCTACAGGTTATGTCTGAGTAGGATTTCTAGGTTATATCCATGCATGGTTCTTGGTTGGAGATACAATATCACAAAAGACCCCTGTGCCCAGATATAATTGGTCCTTGTGGAGCTCCTGTCTTCTCCAGGTCTTATTAACTTCCCTTTCTTTCATATGATTCCCTGCACTCTGCCCAAAGTTTGGCTATTTGTCTCAGCATCTGCTTGATACACTACTAGGTACAGTCTTTCAGAGGTAGGCTCCTGTCCTATTTCTTGTTTTCTCCTACTTCCAATGTACATCCCATTTGTCTTTCTAAGTGAGGATTGATCATCTTACTCCGGGTCCTCCTTGTTTAGCTTCTTTAGAAGTACAGTTTTTACTATGTTTATCCTATCTTATAGGTCTAGTATCCACTTACAAGTGAGTGTGTATCTTTCTGCTTCTGGAATACCTCACTCAGGATGATCTTTTCCAGATCCCACAATTTGCCTGCAACTTTCATGATTTCCTTGTTTTTAATTGCTGAGTACTATTCCATTGTGTAAATGTACCACAATTTCTGTATTCATTCCTCTGTTGAGGGACATCTGGGTTGAAAGAGTATTAGAAAAGACTACTATTTGTGTGTGTGTGTGTGTGTGTGTGTGCGTGTGTGTGTAGAAATCTAGTGTAGTGGGAACTCCCTGGAATCTAAAAGAGTGACCATAGTAAATTTTTCTTATAAGAGGGAATTTTAAGCCCAAATCAACCATCGATGGCTCCCAAGTTTGACAGGGACTTCAAAATAGCCACAAAATCTTCTACCTACAATATGTCCTACTTGTTACATAAGTTGGGGTAATTGTGGCACAGAACTTCTGGGAATGGTGAACTCATAACTGGTCCAACTTGAGGTTCACACAATGAAAGGTAGAGCACACCTGGCCCAGCCTGGATGGCTGAGAACCAATGGCTGGATAGCATGAATACCCATGACAGGACCAAGCATAATGTGGAGGGAAGTCAATAAAAAGAGTCCTAGTGATATTCTGCTGGATTTATAGATTGGTGCCTAGCCACATTGTCTTCAGAGAAAGCATCATCAAGCAACTGATGGAAACAGATGCAAGAACCACAGGCAAACGCGAGGCAGAGCCTGGGAAGCCCCGCAGAAGAAGGGGAGAAAGGATTGCAGGAGACAAAGTGGTCCAGGATACCGTGAGAACATGGCCCACAGAATCACCTAAGCGGGGCTCATAGTAACCTACATATCCTAAAACGACAATCCCAGACCTCGTAAGAGTCTGAGTTAGGTCCTTTGCACACACGTTATGGTTGTGTATCTTGGCGTTCTTGCTGGACTCCGAACAGTGGGTGTGGGTGCATCTCTTACTCTTTTACTTAAGCCTGGAACCTTTTCTCCTATACTGGGTGGCCAAGTTCATTCTTGATCATAGGGTTTGTGCTTAGATTTTTATGCCACGTTAAGTGGCATATCATCTTTGGGCAGCCTTTTTTTTTCTTTTTCCTCTCCAGAGGGAGTAAAACGGAAGAAGGGTAGATCTGTGGAAAGGGAGAAATGGAAGGGCGCCTGAGAAGAGTGGAGGGAGGGGAAAGTGGTTAGAATGTAATGTATTAAAGAAGAATACAAAATTACTGTGCTTTACTTGTGTAGATACTATTCAAAATAATATGTATTAATCAGATTTGAAGACATTTTAAAGTCTTCAGTATAAATGTTTTAATACATGCTCATGATGTGCTACTGTGAAAATACAAACAATGCATTTACAATACTAAAATATAAACAGTGACAGACCTGGTCAAATCCAAGTTGTATTGTAGCAATAATAATTTCTTAGATTTTACAAATGAGCTAAAATAATTCACGACATACAAAGACTAGGATGGAGATAGCTGGGAGAAGGGTGCATAGAAAATAGTCACTGCTAGAAATTTTTCCAATTTAAAATGACTTCAATTGGAATTTGTTAATAACGTGTACTATATGTATAAACAATAAGGAAATATAACAGCTTTATAATATATTGATAGCCAAAAAATCAAATGTTTAAGGTTTGGCTAAAACATACAATTCTCATCTATCTATCTATCTATCTATCTATCTATCTATCTATCTATCTATAATTTATCTAGCTATCATCTATCTGCCACCCACCTATGCATTAATATTTACTTACTAAAAGCTAGAGTTGAAAATTTACTAATGAAGTCACAAAAGTACTGCTCATATTTCTGTTAGCTAACATTTCACTCCATGTATGTAATCATTTGCTTATATTTCATATAGGTGTTCACATATGTTGCCATCTGTCATCAAGTGAAATAGACGTTTTTGCTGATTCTTAAATTTAGCAATGTTAAATGACTTTTGTATTTAGAAACTTTCAAAATGAACATGGCATTAGAGTAATAAAACATATTCTTCAATAGGTGAGGTGATAAAAGTAAGTTCAATGGCTTTCCAAAAGTTCATAAATTTTGCTGATGAAATTTAAGGTCGTCTGTCTTTGTTGGATTAGTATTGATTTTATGTTGCTGTTTCCCTGGGGTTATTTATATGAGCAATAAAACCTTCAAAAGAATGAGCTGTGACTCACCTAGGAGCTTCTTTATCCCTTGTCGCTTCTGTATGTTGCTGAGCTCTATCTGGCAGGGGGGGTCTGCAAGGACATTAAACATAGTTCTTCAAGGATGTAGTTAATCAGACAGTATGCCAAGTGGTCAATCTCAAGCAAAGCTTCTTCTTTCATAAAAACACCCATGCTATCCATTTGTTCTTATGGTATCACATGGACGCATACTCGTGGATACATCAAGATAGGCATGCACAGAAATAGCTATGGAGACCTAATGGAGTGTAATAATTTATCAAGTGTAGGCAATAGTAGTTCCTTTCGGATATTTCACAGAATGGTTGATATTTGGTGAAGAATGAAAATAACATAGATATAGATGATGGTGTACTTTTTACATTTAAAAGTCTGCAGTCTAAATCTAGTAGGATTTTGACCAAAGAACTAACTCATCACCCTCTCATCAAACATAGGTCATAGGATAATCTTGGTCTTTCTAGCTTCCACAGAGGCTTCAAATGTGTAAGCAATTAAAAATAATATATTTTATAACTCATGTTTCAAAGAAAACCTTAGAGTACTCAAGTGAATTTGTAAGTATATACTGTATGTGTTGTATTGATAATCAGTGACTTAAATGGACATGTGTAAAGGAAACTTCAATAGTCTATAGGTATAATAATGTACATATTTTTCTTTTTTCCTTTTTTATTTATTATTTATTATAATTTATTCCTTTCTCCCTTGTTTCCTCCTAGTCACATTCACCCTCTGCCTTCTTCCCCTATGAACCTCCCCAAGTGCACTGAAAGTGTAGGACCTCCTTCCCTTCCATCTGTCCCTAGCCTATCAGGTCTCATCAGGACTGACTGCATTGTCTTCCTCTGTGGCTTGGCAAGGCTGCACCATCTGCTGCACCTAGATGATATCTAGATAGCTAGTGGAGGTGATCAAAGAGCCAGCCACTGAGTTCCTGTCAGAGACAGCCTCTGTACCTCTTTTAGGAAACCCCCTTGGGAACTGAGTAGCCTATGGGCTTCCTCTGAACAGGGGGTCTAGGTCCTCTACATCCATGGTCCTTGGTTGAAGTATCAGTCTCTGCAGATTCCCCTGGGCCCAGGTTTTTCTTTGCAATATGTATTATTGAAATTTAACATGAAAATACTTTTGCAAAGGTTAAGTGAATGCCACAAGAAAAAAAAATGAACAGTTTTTATCCTTAAGCTAGGTAGAGAATGAAAAGTATTATAACTGTCAAAAGACCCTGAAATATCAAAATAATTCTTATTCTTCTTCACTATATACTTCCAGAAAAAAGGTAAAATATACAATGCAATTTAAGTAATTTAAAACTGTTTACTATACCAACTGAAAAATAATTCAATTGTTAAATGGAATAGTAAAAAGAAAGAATAAATAATGTGCTTAAGCTGTACATTATCTAGGTCAGTATGTGAGGCCAAAAATATTCTAAGAAAATAAAAAGTAAAAAAAGTAATACTTACTAACTAATTTATTGTAGTTCATCTTTAAACTGATACAATTTAACTTTTCCTTTAAATAAAGGATATACATCAAAACACACTGACATGTCAAAATAAAATTTTAGTTTCATTGTCTTACTAACATGACATTAGGCAAGCTTTCAAATATTTTTAAAATAGTCTTCAATGTGCTGTAAAGAAATCAATTTCTTTTATTTTTACTACATAGAAATTTATACTGATATGTACCTGAAATCCAGCTATTTTTGAATGTTTTAAGAATTTTTATATTTTTCAAAATAAAATTTACTTAATTTAATTCAAACATATTTTCATACAAAATTAAGTATTTATTTTTCTATTTGACACCGTAGGTTCAATGAATTCAGCTTTGTAGGTTCTGTATGTATGTTCATGTATATGTATTTTTCAATGTACATTAACATGAAAGACATAACAAACAACAAAACTAAAATGGCAACTGTTAAAGAAAAATATGAAGAAATGCATTTTAATGATAATATACTTGAACTTACTATCTTACTTGTTAAGGGACACTAGTTATCAATGACTAAAATATCATTGAGAGAGTGTTTCCCTACATAGAATACATATGTAATCAATTCAAATATGTGTATTCTTAAGTGTGTAGGATTTAAAACATTTAATAAAACAATTCAATTTTAATAATTTTGCATTTTTCATAATAGAAAATAGATTTTTTAAAAGAGAATATATTATGGTTATGGTTTCTCTTCTCCTAGCTCCTCCTAGGCCCTCTGGACTTCTCCTCTCACCCAAATCCTTTTTACTTAAAATGGTTTACAGATAGTGAATGTCTCCTCCGTAGCTAGACCTACGGTTGATTCACTTCTTCTCAATGTATAGACAATTATATCCTCCCTGATTTTAAAACTATTACTAAATGTACTTAGTGGAGGTCATTTTTGTCATTCCATGTTAGGTATGATAACAATTGCTATAGTTTAAGTATCTTGTTTACTCTTTCTGCTTCCAACAAGTTCAAAAAGTGCTATCAATGCTAGTTGTACTGTATTAACCTCATTTCCAGGTTTTTTTTAAGTTAGCACCAACTTAACAATGATTCATTAGTTTTCCAAATATTTATCATAATGTGATGATGTTTAGGTGCTTTTCTCTGCATGTATTTAATATAAGACATGATTGAGTTCATTCTGGAAGCATGATTTTAAATATAAAGAGTATTTTTATCTCAGCTAGGTTTGAGGTGTTGGAGAGGGTATGTGGGATGAGCTAAAAAGATGAAAGACAAAAGGTGTATGATATGATTCTATTTTAACTAGAAAATGTATAATTTATATGTATAATTTATTTTAAAAAGTATATAAAAACATCATTACTTTTTCTTTTGTCTCACTTCTTGCAGAGTTTTGTTAAACTCTCTCAGTAGCAAATTTTTAACAAGCTAAACTATTTGGGAAAGATTGAAAGACTAAGTAATTTTGAAAATAAAATGAGTAAAAATAACTCTACAGTGAATGCCATGGTTCATGCAACTCATTTAATAAGATCACAAAATGGAACATTAAAACTCCACAGTATAGTGATAAAAACTCCATTTATTTTACACTGTGGGGAAAGCAGATAGCAAATTAATTTCAATGATTACTTTTAATATCTATGTTCTCATATCTCTGTGTGCTGCTTGCTGGTTCATAATGAAATCTATAATGAAATACATTAATATAAAATATTAATTACCATTTTCCATCTTATTTAGAACATTTGTATCTTTAGCACAATTATTTTTGTTCAATATGGTGTATATTTGTTTTTCATTAAACATTAAAATTAGAAAAATACTAAAATAATTGAAGCATTGGGTAGTGCTAACATTTTTTATTATGAGGGCAAAGATTAAATTCGAAATAATTCCCCCATAGTAGCTTTATCTTTTACCTTGCTGTCTCTGGAAGCAGTAGCACCATTCATTGTTAGATATCAAACTGTCCTTGTATGTGTCACAAGAGTTGAAGAACGCCTTGGTGCACTGTTCATTCTTATCAAGGTATATGCTCCCAAGCTCTGACTGGTCCAAGAGCAGGTCATAGTTTGTATCAAGTCTGTTAAACATCCAGCCAAGTGAATCCTTGCAAATTGGCAAAATACTGGTATCAAATCCTACATGCAAAGAGAAAAGGATTAAGTATCTCAGTCTGAAGGATCTCATCATCATAACGTAAAATAAATCAATAAAGTGGGCAAGAACAGAGGGGAAGTTCTGGGTAGTCAGAAAAGCATTATTTTAACTTCAACTTGGAAAATTTGTTTCAAACTACATTAGGCATAAAAATATCTACCTCTAGTTTTGAAGATTAATTAACCAGACAACATCTGTTACTCATTAGTCATCATTCAGTGGAATGCAGTATTGCAATTACATGCTATTTTCCTAGTCACTATTAAATCTTCTTGAATACTTACTACATCATCATAAATTGCAGAATATTACTGAGTAACAAACGCTGGTGAAATCCATTTACATATGAAAAATGAAGAGTACTGTTTCTACATAAGCATTACTAGCATGTACTACATAATAGTTTACACATTGCCCTGTGTTGGTAAAACTATGTTAAGTGGAGCACTGCACACAAAACTGTTAACAAGAGAAAGAATAGCTAGGATGCAATATTGCTCATTCTAACTCCAGCCTTTTGTGGTGATTTTTACTCTTACAAGTGAGTGAAGACAGGAGGCCTTAGGGTGCACTGGCGGATGGCAGGGCTCACGAAACATCAAGCAATGTTCGCTTAGACATGATTCATCCACTAACCTCATGAAGCAACAAGTGTTATATTCTGTCCAATGACACCAATTATTTAAACCATTAAAATACCCCCAAATCATTACACAAAGATATAGTTCCTACAACTGGAGATAGGATGTGAGTCCTTGCGTATGTGAGGCATGAAATACCATACAAACTACTAAGAAGCTTGTTAAGGTTGTTCATGAGCTGATAAAGCCTGAGGAGGAATACCACAAGAATGAGGAACTTACGGGATATACACAAAGAACTTCATTCTTTGTGAATGTGGTGGATATCCTTCCACAGAGCTCTAGGAAAGCTTTCAAGGAAGGCCAGGCAGGAAAACAGACAGAAAGGGCAAACTGCGAATCAGAAGGTGATTTGGGAAAAATGATAAGGGTACATCCACCTGCCTCTTTAATTCTTATAGAATGTCTTAATTTCTTATTGAAGAGATGATTATCATACCCCTCTCCTTTATCCAGAGAACAGTTTAGAAAGAAAGAAAGAAAGAAAGAAAGAAAGAAAGAAAGAAAGAAAGAAAGAAAGAAAGAAAGAAAGAAAGAAAGAATTCTATCACTAGGAAAAACTAGGGAGAATATCTCGAGTGCAGAGCTAAAGAGAGATCAGAACACTGAGCAGGGGCAGGGTCTGTGAGAAATGAGAGACAATTAAGGAGAAAGAGATGGCAAAGACTTCAGAAAAGCTATGGATCAATGCCACACAGCCTTATTAGTAATTAGTAATTAAATTGGCAGAGTTAGAAGGAAGGCTATGGGATAGAAGTAATAGCTCAGGAAACATAGGAGGGATCTCTACTAATGAAATTTATCTAATCAAGTAGAGAAGAATCTTACAGAACACAAACTGTGACAGATATCATGCAAATAAATATCTAATAAAAACTTGACACATTAGAATTATGTTTACTTTAAACAATAATATTAAAGATTTTTTTTAAGCAGCTAAAAATAAAATCCATGTTCCTATAAAGCAGTGGTTCTCAGCTTATTTAAAATGACCCCCACAGGGGTCATTTCAGATATGCTGCATATCAAATATTTATATTACAATTCATAACAGTAGCAAAATTGCAGTTATGAAGTAGTAATGGAATAATGTTATGACTGGGGTCAACACAACATGAGGAACTGTATTAAAGGGTTGCATCAATAGGAAGGTTGAGAACCACTGCTGTAGAGAAACAAAGACAGAGGACCACTGGTATGAGATGAAACTACATGAGGCAGATGCAAAAGACTACATGTGATTTCATGCTGAAAGAAAATAAACCTCACAGAACAAAACTATGACCCAGTGACAAGATGTTTAAAAAAATACGGGACTATCTCTTCTGAACGCACAAAATCACAGTGGGGAAATAAGTGTTAGAATTCTATCTCACACTAAACAAGTCATGGGTAAATTTGAATTTATAAATGCAAACCTTTTCCAGTGTGCCAAACAATACTATTAAAGTCATTTTTCATTTTTAGTTTGTGTGAAAGTGCATAACTATGTGGGTATACACAAGTGAACATTGCTCCGTTGGAGGCCAGAGACATCCCATCTCCCTGGAGCTGGGGTTGTAGGTGGTAGTGGATCACCTTATGAGGTACTAGGAATTTAATGTTGTTCTTCTGCAAGAGAGTGTGCCTTCTTAAACACTGCATTATCATCCCAGTCCTGTGTGGTCAATTTTTCTTTCTTTCTTTCTTTCTTTCTTTCTTTCTTTCTTTCTTTCTTTCTTTCTTTCTTTCTTTCTTTCTTTCTTTCTTTCTTTCTTTTCTTTTTTCTTTTTTTTTTTTTTTTGGCAGCAAAACGCTTAGGAATTCAAAATGAGATACTCCAAAGTTAACACAAAGGTGTATTTTACAAGTGGACATAAACTAATATGAAATATATTGCAGTACTATGGTTAAAAGAGGTACATATAATATGTAATTTTAACACACTTGAGGTCATTTGGATGAGAATGGAGCCTACAGGCTTGTATTTTGAACGCTTAGTCCTTGGTTAGTGGAACTTTCTTGAAAGGATTAAGAGGTGTGGTCTTGTTGGAGGAAGTATTTCCTTGAGGTGAGCTCTGGGTTTCCCACAATGCAGGCCAGATCCAGGGGCTCTGTTTCTGTCTGCTGCCTTCGGCTCAGGATGTAGCTCTCAGCTACTTCTCAGTCCATGCCTGCCTGAACACAGCCACGTTCCCGACCTTGATGGTAATGTCCCAACACTGTAGTTAAATATTTTCTTCTATAAGTTGCCTTGGTTATGGTTTCTTGTCACAGCAACAGAATGCTAAATAACACAACACTGTATAAGCATGAATTTATTTATATAAAAAGGTAGCCTATGGAATGTATTCATTTCATAAAACTGTATGCAGTTACCATGCTGACAACATGATTTTTTACCTTATACTGAATGAATAAATGATATTAGTAAAAGAATACTAATTCTCTTCATATAACTTTGTGCTCAGTTAAAATATAGATAATCAAAAATTTTTAATATATAATACTAAATACATTCTTTTTTCCTGAAACTTATTGAAAATACTTGTACATAGGAATGTCTCAAATAATCATCATAAAATAAATTTCTAGCATCTTGTTCAAGAAAAACCATAGTGTACAGACTCATTTAATGCTTAATTAAACCTCTACAAATCATTCTGATTTTGAGTTATTTTGTTTATATTTAACTTTTACATTTCCTTGGGTTTTAGCTACTAATTCTTGAACATTCAAGACAGCTATTAGTCAAATATTCATTTTTTTCCTGAAGTTATAGTTTGCCTTATTCATCTTTGCTGTTATGAGAGGTCTAAGAAGAAATCTCAAGGCTGTTTTAGATTTTCATTCTCCTAATTGCTAGGGATGATGAAATATTCAAGGATATATTTAACCATTTTATTCAAACTTGGTTCAGATTCTTGATTAAACATGTCCTGAACACAGTGAACTGTTTTAGTTAGGAAGAAAGTTGTCCTTTATTTTGCTAAAAGCACAATGCTATTGACAAAGTTCTATTTTGCCAGTGATTAAAAATCTACTTTTCCTGGGTCTCAACTGGCTGATAGTAATGGTAGTTCCACTGTTTGGTATGAGGAATCTAAATCTACCTACAGTTTACTGTGCTGCCAAGCCAATGGCATCATTTCCATTGGAATAATGAAATGTAATAGCTTCACTATATTAAGTAAATTTCATCTACATTTATTTTATAATTATACATGAAAATACATAGAATAACAAGATTTCAAAATGTTAACTTTTTGATCAAAATTTCAATATTACTAATTTAGGACAATACCTTAGTGGTGTTATGGGACAAAATTAAATTTCATTATAGAGAAAGTTACATCTTCTTAATAAAGGAAGAAACTGCCAGATGTCTTAATAATTAGAAACACCAAAATAAGCAATGATTTGGTTGTTTTATTTTATTACTTGAAATGAGGAAAGAAAATTTATCTTCTGGCTTTAGATCTTTGTTTTCAATAGATGAAGTTCCCTGTTATACCTAGAAGGCTCCTATTTCATTAAAATGGGGTATTATTTTTAATCCATCTGATGCCAAATTCAATCATCCTCTCAATGTGAGGACAGCATGACACAAAGTGAGCAATATCTTGGTGAGAAATTAGAGTGCCTTCCTATACCCTGGGGGTTGAAGTAATTCCATCATTTTCTCTCACTGTGAAGAACATTTGGTGTGGAAGAAGCAATGTAAAACATCACTGGATTCAGAGTTAGATTGTGCATCTGAGGAGTTGGCATATGATGATCATTTCTACCTGCATTCCACATTTATAAAAGGAAAATTAATGCTATATTCTTTTCATAGTTCTGAAGAAGCTCTATTTAGAGCCTATTTTAAAAGATTTCCAGCACAATTCTACTGTTATTGTTTTTTTTTTTTTAATGTAAAGAAAAAAAGCAAATCTTGGCCTATAAATCAAACACACATGTTACAAAGACCTTAAAGCTAATATTATCCTGGTAAAAATGACACAATAAAATTGAAACTCTGTTTCCTTCATATGACTGTCATAAAGTCCATGAAAATGTTTTTAGCATCTGATTGTCCTTCTATGATTATTAATTTTCAGTGACTGTATTAAGATATATTAAAGCAATATATATTCATAAAGCCTTTCTCATAATAAAATTATAATAAAGATCACTTAAAACTTTATCAGTTTGCTCCATTTCTTTAAAAAGCTTTGACATTTTGTTGATTTAAAGCAATATACTGTTAAATATTTATAATAGTAAAGATTCAAACAAGGTTTTTTCTTTCTACATTGGCTTCTAACCCTTATCTAAATGCTTTGATAAGATTTGGTCAACAAAATATCAGATTAGTA